TACCAGGTGCTATTTTGACTGCTTGGATTCTGAGCCCTGGTATTAAACAGCAGGTCTCTGCTTAAAATGTTGCTTAAAATGTTTATAATGAGGTAGTAACTATGGGTCGAGGTTTTTATTTTTGTCATTATGTTTCTGTCTCTGTTAAGAGGCACCAGACCTGGTGCACAGTGACAGAGGAGGCTGTGCTTTTCCTCACACACATAAGCTGGTGGGAGGCAGGGCTGGGGCTGGGGGGCTCTCGGTTCCTGGACCTTGGCTGGTATGCACACACCTGTCTCCGGGTCATGGAACAACTTGCAGAACTTCCCATGTCAGTGCCCTGGGTTCCAGCCTCCCACCCACCCCAGCAAGCACATCAAAACAGTGAAGCTTCTGGAAGGTTTGCAGGACTAGAGATGAAGGATTCAGCCTCATGGCCAGCCACCACAGCCTCAACCTGCCGGGCTCAGGTGATCCTCCTGCCCCTTGGCCTTCTAAGCAGCTGGAACCATAGGCATGTGTCACCATGCCCAGCTAATTTTTTGATTTATTGTAGCGGTCAAGCCAAGTTGAACACCTGGGCTCAGGCAGTCCTCTCGTCTCCACCTCCCAAAGTGCTGGGATGTGAGGCGTGAGCCACCATGCCCAGCCGATTTCAGCTTTCTAATGGCAACTGGTTGGAGATCACACTGAATTGATCAGACCACACTAAAATTCTTTCGGGTCAGCCACTGTTCTGCAGAGAAGCCAGCTTGTTCTCTGAAGCATGGCTGCATTGGGCACCTCATCTAGACAGTGGTGGTCAGGAGGGCTCTGGGAGATAGGCTCAGGCCAGTGCTGGCTACATGCTCCAGAGAACACAGGGCGGCGAGCGGTGGCACGTGATGCTGAGGCTGCTTTCAGCAGAACACTGCTGGTCCCCAGCACATCTTCTGCCTGCTGGTACAAGGTCCGAGTTGGCTTTGTTCATCAGCTCCTGCCCCAAGCCTTTGGTGTCTGTCACTGTGGTGGAAAGCATGGCTGTCTGGATTCGTGAGCATCCGGAATCAGGTTCGCTTTGTGGGTGCTTGGGAGTGGGAGGCAGTGGGTAGTCCACGCAGACTCGGGAGTGGGAACCAGTGGGTAGTCCATGCAAGCACTCGGCTGCATGCTGGCTGGCCATGGTGGTCTGCTCATGTTCCAGTTGGAGCTTTTGAACCCCACCTGGAGCTTTGGGCCGGGGAGTGCACGCCTTTGCACCTGCACCATCAGTGTGCCTTTGGCTCCTGAAGCTTTTCTTCCTTGGAAGACCTGGCTGTGGGCACCCACCCCGCCCAACCCAGTGCGCGTTCCCAGAAGGTACTCTGCCCCCTGCCACCCCTCCTCACGGCTCACCGAGTGGTTAGAGGTGGCCAAGAGAGAGCCTGATCCTACTCCATGCCTCCAGTCAGAGCATATGCCCCATGCCTCCTCCTCTCACCAGCAGTGGGCTGCTCAGCCGTCCTCCTCGGGCACCGTCTCTGCCCTCACATCACATTGTAGTGCAGCGGCTGGGTGGCCCACAGAAGGTGGGAGGCTGGCCAGGTCTCCTCCGCACAGGACCCAGGATCATCCTCATTTGGCGCTCCCAACTGTCCTAGGAAGGAGCCTGTCTGTGGCCAGATCCCAGCCCGTGCTGACACATTCCAAGAGAGATGCAGCTCGAGACAGACACTCATGCAGGGTTGGCTTGTTCCTGAGCGGGTATTCTTGTTCCATGAGAGTAAGGGAGGGTTTTCTTGATAAGGTGGCGTGCTAGGCTGGTCCGAGTGAGGCGGTGCATCTGTGACCCTCAGAGTGCCTCTTGGAGGACCCTGGGCTCTCGGCCTGACTCTGAGTGAATTCAGAGACAGCTGGACTGCGTGGCGACACTTGGTGTCTCCCACACGCCTTTAGTCCTCTCATCATGTGTTGGATGGCCTGTGTGGTGGGAGGAGAACTCCCTGCAGCTTGTGCCTAGTGGCCATTGGGTCGATGTTGCTGTTGGGACTTCCTAGATGCTGAGGAGGGGCCTGTCTGTGAGAGCAGGGGCCTTGTCAGAGTACTAACCAGCCCATGCAGCTTCTGCTGGTCTGCAGTTGAATCCCTTTTTGTGAAGAGACTAAAGCTAGCATGTTCTGCTCTAACGAGGAATCTGAGGTGGGTAAAGCAGAATAAAAGGAGAGTTCACGGCAGCTTTTTATTTCCTAAAGACAGATGGGATGTCTGGGAAGTCAAAACCTTTCAAGAAAAAGACACAGCTGTGTGAGGAGTGGGCAACTGTGGGCAGGAGGGCCCCAGGCCCACTGGCTCTAAAGGGCTGTGGCCGTGTGCCAGAAGTGTCCACAGACATGTGGCCGAGTGGACCTCGTGAAGGGCCGCGACTCTGGCTCATTGTCTTGAGGGAAGGAAGCTAAACATTGTAGCATAATCATTCCCTGAGCAAGACAGTCCCCATAGATAGGCGCAGACACTGCACGAGACAAGAAGGGCTGTGAGGTGACCGTGACATGGGACATCATGGAATTCCTTCACGGTCCCCTCAGCACATGGAGCCTCTGGGAGGGAGGTTCGGTTCCCATAAAGTGGGCTTGGTTGGAAGAGCAGGAAATGGCAGTTACTTCCCCTGCATCAGTTGCTTCCCCTGCATCAGCCTGCTAGAAGAGAGACTTTGGTCTTCATAACTGTCTGTCACGTGCAGAAACTGCATCTTTGAATTGCACAGATGGAGACGAGAGACCGGCACTTGCTTTCCACGTCCTGAGAATCGGGCCACTTTCCACGTGCAACCTTTGTTGGCCCTCCTTGGTTTAGGATAATCAGCCCAGGGGGAAGCATGGAGTCTCCATGGACAATCAGATTGTTCTAGTTTTTCAAAAGGGAAATTGATGTTTTTCCCACTAGAGTAAACATGGCACATATTAGTGACCTGTGTGCACACCGACCTTGCCCTGTTGGAGGAGGGGCCTAGCACAGCACCTCACAACAGCTGGTCCAGAGCTTAGGTCTCCAGCAGGGGAGCCTGGGCACCCAAGGGGACTCACAAGGTGGGTCAGAGCACTCTGCAGCACTGGACCTTGAGGAGGAGCTGAAGCAAAGCCGCTCTGGTGGTGAGTGTCCCGGGGGCCAGCGGGAAGGGCTCCCAGGGATCAAGGCTGGAGCACTATGAGCAACAGTGATGCGTAGGATGCCCGGAGTTGACCATAAACACACACATGTTCTTGCTATTAGTAATGATGACTCAGCCAGACACGATGGCTCATGCCTATAATTCCAGCACTTTGGAAGGCTGAGGTGAGAGGATTGCCTGAGCCCATGGGTTCGAGACCAGCCTGGGAAACTCAGTGAGACCTCATCTCTACAATAAAAGAAAAAAAAAATAGCCGGGCATGGTGGCGTGTGCCTGTAGTTCCAGCTACTTAGAAGGCTGAGGCAGAAGGATCGCCTGAGCCCAGTAGATTGAGTGAGTGTGCCACTGCACTCCAGCCTGGATGACAGAATGAGATTCCAACTCAAAAAAAAAATGACAATTCATAAGTCAGGGAGAAACCTCCCAGGTAATTGGTGTAGATACTGTGCCCTCTAGGAGGGGAGCATCCTCTCCTGAAGTGGGGCCACACAGTGATGTCCTTTCCAGAGACACAATGGAAGTGGCAGAGTAGTCACTTCACAGTGAAACCTGGCAGCAGCCTCGGCCAGGTGGTCAAGGTCACCGTCACGGTGATGAGTCTTATCATGGGTGGTTAAGGTCACCGTCACGGTGATGAGTTTTGTGACAGGTGGTCAAGGTCACCATCACAGTGATGAGTCTTGTGATGATGATCAAGGTCAGTGTCACAGTGATGAGTCTTGTGATGGATGGTCAATGTCAACATCACAGTGATGAGTCTTGTGACAGGTATGACCTTTGACAGGATGTGGGGAGAGGCTACATCTTGGGATCTTCCTCCCAGTGACTCGACACCCCAGCCTAATAGTGACAAGAGCAGCAGCAAACCCCACAGAGACGTTCAACAGATACCTGAGCCGTCCTCAGAACTGCCTGGGGCCTGGAAGACAGGAGAGTCTAGGACTGTTACAACCCATGGGAGCCTCGGGAGACGAGACGACTCCCTGCCCTAGAGGGTCCTGGTTGGAAATTGGGAGCAGGAAAAGGACATGAGGGGAAATGAGTGAGTGGTTCATGACAGCACATCGACACTGGTTCAAAAACGACGACAGACATGCCATGCAGTGCAGTGCATGAACAGCAGGGGCACTGATGCCGGGCATGGGACTCTGTGCTGCCTTCTCAGTGTGTGTGTGAATACAAGACTTCCAAAGGAAACATATTAAAATAGGGAATGCAAGGTGCAGCCAAAGATGGGAAGTGGGGGTGGCTGGGAGCCCACCTCTGGGTGAGAACTTGGTTAGCTATTGGCGCCTTGGGGGCCAAGGTGAGGGTGGCTGCAAGGACACAGGGTGTTAGTGTCAAATGTGCATCTTGTTGGGTGGGTGGTGGGATGCGTTGGAAGCAGAAGACTGAGGGTTAGGAGACGTGGGCCTGGTGATTTCAGAGCTCAGAAAGACCTCTGGCGTGTAGTGACTAGCCTCGGCCCTGACATCAACGTGATTCCTACTCTGAGGCCCAAGTCATCCCACCTGAGAGGTGATGAGAGCACACGGGAGCCGTGTGTGGGTTTGACTTGTAATGATGGTGTCAGAGGTCCCCTCCACACAGCAGGGCTGCCCTGGGAGCCACAGTAAGCACCAACAAGAAGCCCTGGCATGTTCCTAGCATGGCTGTGCCACGGGAAAGGTGCTGCGTGAAGTGGATCTCCTTTTAGGTAACATGTCTGTCCTGTGATGTTACGACTGCACACTGAACGCAAACCTTGGCGCTCCCGTTGTGTTCCAGAAGCTGTAGCTGCTCTTCTCAGGGAAAACTCAAGTCCTCATTGCCGTACACCCACTGGGAGGGGCTGTGACTACTGCTATGGGTGGCCCAGGGGGCTCTTACACGGCTCCTCTTCCTCTTGCAGAGAATCAAGAAGGACGTGGACAGAGGCACCCAGCATGCAGACATGTTCCTGCTGAAGCCCGAGGATGGCAGGGAAGGTACTGGCGCCTCAGGGTGGGCCGGTTTATGTGCATGCTGCCACGGTAGCTGGTCTGTGTCACCCGTGGGCAGATGCAGCCTGTGCTTTCCTGTGAATAGGGCTGGCAGTGAGCCCTCTACATGTTGCCTGGAGCTGAGGGCTGGTCAGGATGCCTGGGGTGGGACTGGGCAGGACCCCCATGCAGCCCTGTGTATCTGCCCCCCTGTGGATGTGGGTGGTCACCCCTGAGAAAGTCAAGGGCGGGCTGACAAACACCAGCATCATCGGCCTGTGAACATCCCTTGGTGGAGAGCTGTGAGCACTGTGGGTGTTCCTCCTGCCAGATACCTACGAGAGGTGCTCTCCAGTGGCTCCTGCAGTCCACAGGAGGGGCCCAAGCTCCCTGTAGAGAGCCATCACTGTCCCTGTGTGAACCAGCCAGAAATGGCAACTTGCCGCCTGGCACCACAGTGGTGGGAGCTTGCTTTGGGCTGGGGTGGCAGCTGCTGCCTGGCCAGGGGACCAGCATTGCCTGTTCTCAGATGAGTTTCAGAAATTCTCCTGAAGATGTGTCAGCCTTCAAGGTGTGACAGTCGTGACCCCAGTGCAGTTGGATTTGTTGAATTCAGAGCACTCAGAGTACCTGGATCTCTGAAAATGTTTAGCTAAGCTTGGATCTAAGAATCAATCTTTGCTGGGTGTGGTGGCTCATGCCTATAATCCTAGCACTTTGGGAGGTGGAGGTGAGAGGATTGCCTGAGCCCAGGGGTTCAAAACTAGCTGGGACAATAAATAAAAAATTAACCGGCGTGGTGGCACGTGCCTGTGGTTCCAGCTACTTGGAAGTCTGAGGTGGAAGGATCGCCTGAGCCCAGGACAAGGCTGCAGTGGCCGTGAGCATGCCACTGCACTTCAGCCTGGGTGACAGAGTGAGACTCCAACTCAAAAAAAAAAAAAAAAAAAGAATCAACATTTTTTAACTGAAAAATAGGGTAATAGTAGCTGTTTTGGGGGACTTTCGAAGAGGATGGCATGGCTTGTCTATGGGGAAACTCTCTGCAAGCCCATTAGCCAGGGGCCAGGACAGGTCAGCCACTGCTCTCACTGTCCATGTGTGACCTGTTGCGTATTTCTGGGTGTGTGGTCCCCGCTTAGAGATGAGTTGTAGATGTGTTCCCAGCTGTGGTTGCTCTGTGCATTCTCAGGGCCCCCAGAGTCCCAGGAGCCATGTGCGTCTGTGGGAGTGAGGAACGGCACTGGGCCCTCCTGCTCAGTCATTGACTTTTAAAAAAAATGTGCGCCGGGCTCGGTGGCTCAGCCTGTCATCCCGCGCCTTTGGGAGGCTGAGGTGAGTGG